ATTACATTTTGTTTCAGCCGTGTTGCCATTCTCACTTAATAGCTCTAACAGTCCTAGCAATTCATCTAGTTTTTCATGTACAACTTTTACTGCCTTTTCTCTTGCACTCCACCGTGTTTCTGATTTACGCTTGACAGAGATCTTAAGCTCCTGCTGCAGTTTGTCCCATCGAGTTGTTGAATAAGCAAATAAATTATAAATGGCTTCGATTACACCAAAAAAGGTAATAACTGTTGTTTCCTGACTTGCAGCATGAAGACAGGCTAAGTTCAAAATATGGTTGTCACAGTTTATAAACACTGCTTTTGGATTTTTGTTCAGAATTATTTGTTGAACACCTGACAGATGACCTGACATGAAAGAAGCATTATCATAACATTGTGAACAACAATCACTCAATAAAATCTCATCCGCTTCTAATTTTGTGCTTTTTCTTTTCTCAATATTGATAGCGTATAAAGTCAATAAATGACTCTTTGACTTCTACTTTTCTTGTGTCAATGTCAAAAAACCGAATCACTTGGGCCAATTGCTCACGATTGGCTAAATCAGGTGTGGAATCAAACAGAATACCATAGTATCTGTTTCTACGAATTGCTGACAAACAATAATTTCGCACATGTGAAGCCACGAGATTTATAAACTCATTTTGGATTTCAGGAGAAAGATAAGATGTTGACGTTTGCTTGTTTTCAACACGCTCTAAATGCTCTCTCATTACTGGATCATATTTTGCTAATAACTGCAAAAGTGACAGGAAATTTCCAGGGTTTTCGTTTGAGGTTATGTCCTCAGTATGACCACGAAATGCAAGATTCTGAGAACCTAAATATTGTGAACAATCCAGCAACCGTCGCATTTATTTTTTCTTGCTGAATTTGCCTTTGCAGCTCTTCATCAATGCCACTTTGAAGACGAATTCAGAGCTCAGTTTCTTTCCAAGCAGCAAATGACTCGCGATGACTGTCACTATTTTCATGGGCATTTAACTTTTCAATTATTTCCACTCAGAGAATCCACCCTGTGATTTGAAAGCAGACCAACTATTGGACGTCATACATGTAGATAAAAAAAGAAGACAACAAAAGCAGTATGCTGCTTTAAGTAGAGGTGAATACACCAACCAGGAACGATTGTCCATTCAGAAGGCATCGTTTGAACCAAAATGCAGTCATAGAACGCCCATCTTTGGCATCAAATGGACCTTCTTTATGTT